CTTTCCTGTCATCTAACCACAAACGTAAGTGTCTGGAGTGCTAAACGTGAAATTAAGGTTTTAGGTAACAAACACTCAAGTAGGTTGGGGCATAAAAGGAAGGATGACCACACTGAAAAGAACCTGATGCCCACTGTTAATATGGTGGAGGGTCTGTGATGTTGTGGGTTGTTTTTCCTCCAAAGGCCCTGCAAACCTTGTTTGGGTACATGGCATCATGGACTCCATGAAATACTAGGACATTTTAAATTAAAATCTGTCTGCCTCTGCTAAAACACTAAACTAAAATGGGTTGTCGCTGGATCTTCCAGCAGGACAGTGATCCAAAACATGACCAGATCAACACAAAAATGTGTGTACTGAACACAAAATCAAGCTTTTGCCATGGCTGTCTCAGCCCCCTGATCTAAACCCTGTAGAAAACCTGTGGGGTGAGGAGAGTGCACAAGAGAGGACTGAGGACCCTGGACAATCTTGAGAGATTCTGTAAAGAGAAATGGTGTCAAATTCCTGCTCTGTATTTTCCAACCTTATGAGCTGTTTAGAAGACTAAGTGCTGTTTTATTGGCAAAGGGAGGTTGTACAAAGTGTTAAATACAGGGTGATTTTTTGATGAGGATTTTTTTTTTTATCTCAGAATAAATTTACTGAAATGTTGTATTTTTCTCATTTTTTCAGTGTGAAATTAAGCTAATTCAGCAAAAGATTAATTTATTGTAACCCTTTGTACTCATCTTTACCAGGGGTGCTAATAATTTTTGAGGGGACTGTATGACACATTTTAGGCCAACTACATATCAGTCTCATCATCCATGGTTTCATTCATGGGCACTTTCACCCACTCCTCAGAGGAAGAGAGAGAAAAAGAGAGAGAGAGAGAGTGTGTGCAAGGGAGAAAAACAAGAGAAATAAATAAATAAAAAATAAAATAAATAAAAAAACACAAATCTACCACACTGTACAAAGTATTAATTATTATTTAATTAATTTAATATTAATCATTAACTTACTGGCTGTTTTAAAATTTCAGGTTCAACTACTGTGTTACATTCTGTTAACTTATTACTAGAAGCCAGGTTATTTACTTCTTGAGTTAAAACATCAAATAGGTTTTTACAGTGTACACAAAAAGAATCACTCATTTAAACGCTGAGCCTGATGTTCTATGTACAAAAAGATTACCTGATATTTTTGATGTGGAGAGGTTTTAATAATGACATTATTGGGCAAACAGCTCTGTTCCTGATAGTTTATTTCATTTCTGTTACAAAATGTTTCACTCTTCCTTTGTTTTTCATGATTTTGTTTATAAGACATGCCAATCAATGTTGCTGAATCACTGCATGTTTTGATGTGTAAATCCTCACTCTGTAAAAGATTTAACTGTAAAATGACAGTAAATTACTGGCGACTACTTTCACAGTAAATTGTTGAACCATATTAACAGTGAATTACAGAAAATAGCAACTTAATACTGTGGCTCCACACTCAGCTGGACTGGCTGTTTACATAACAACTGTAAAAGTAATGTAAACTCAGTAGCCAGTAATTTACTGTACATTTACACATCGCTGTTGTTGGAAGAAAACCTTGTATCTCCAAAATGGTGACTTTACAGGAGAAGGAAAAAACCTACTTTACTTTTAATGCAAATCAATGGAACCAGAATTTTTTCAAAGTCATTTTGGGCTGTTTCTTTTAGTCCATTCATCATGAAATTTACACACAATGTAAAGAGTGACAGGCATTTTCAAATTATGTCAAAAACATAAACATATTTTTCCACAGTGTTTTGTATGGTGTATGCACAGAATATACCTTAAGATTAGTTGATTTCACAGTAAAATGATTAATACAGTATTTTAAAAATGAGTGTTAAATATTGTGAAATACTGCCAATAATTATCACTCATGAGTGTGAACGGAGATACTGGACAGATTGTTCATTTGAGACTGACAGTACGTTTTAACCTCGTTATCTAAGTTAACTTCATTAAAACAGATGAAGTAAACAAACCACCTCCAGACCTGCAGGGGAAGCTGATGGCGCTGTAGTGTTTAGCATTTGGACTTTTTTTTCACCTTAATGTCATTTATGTATCTAAATTAAGTTGAATCTGGAGTTATTAAATATTTAAGCAGCCTAGCAGGTCAATGAACACATTGCATTTTGGGATGGATTGTATCATGACCAAAGTTCTGCCCACATGCTGGAATATTTGGTCAGAGCAGAACTTCATCCAGGTGTCTTTGGGGTTCTGAAGAAATCCATGTTGGTCACATGCGCTGTTTACTACTATTGAACACAATCAGTACCTGAACTGTGTGTAGTAGAATGCTGCACACACATACATTAAAAATGGAATGATTCTCTGATTGTGTGTGTGGTGACAGTGGCTGTGTTTGGAATCTTACATTAGAGGGCTAGAAGATCTTCAGTTGTGTCCACATTTAGAGGAGACAGTTTTGTCCACATTTGGGGGAGACAGATTTGTCCACATTTAGGGGAGACAGTTGTGTCCACATTTAGGGGAGACAGTTGTGTCCACATTTAGGGGAGACAGTCTTGTCCACATTTAGGGGAAACAGTGTTGTCCACATTTAGGGGAGACATTTTTGTTCACATTTAGGGGAGACAGTTTTGTCCACATTTAGGGGAGACAGTTTTGCTCACATTTAGGGAAGTCAGTTTTGTCCACGTTTAGGGGAGACAGTTTTGCTCACATTTAGGGAAGTCAGTTTTGTCCACATTTAGGGGAGACAGTTTTGTCCACATTTAGGGGAAGTGACTCCATTAAGCCCATGTATCATACAAGCCCACCTGCTCATTTATTTTGAGAGGCAGTGAGGGGAAGCAGATATTTAGACACTTGTGATTTTGTTATTTAGTTCATTTGCAGGGCATATATTTGCATACCTAACATGACAGTGGACCAGGAGTAGAAGGTGCACTGGCTTTGACTGGACGAGGAGGGTCCTGAAGGAAGCTAGCAAGAGAACTCAGAAAACAATCATTAGTTTCCCCTTTTTTGTGTGTTTTTTTTCTTTTATTCCTGGTTATTTTGTTTTCCTTTTTGCACTACTACAAAATTTCTCTACACTGAGTCTTCCTATACTGAGTGTACCTTTAGAAGGAAATTTTCTCGCAGTTATATTATTTCATAATTTCATTTTTTTCTCACCTAGTTTTTTATGTCTTTTTTCATTTCACATAGTGGACCAGAATCCCCCTTCCTTTTTTGAATTTTAATTTTCCTTTTTAGCAACTTTATTAATTATATAGATTCAGTTACTTTCTGTCTCATTTTCAAGGAAACTAATATATAAACAGTCTTTCTCCAAACAAGACAAGTTCAGTTTTTAGAGTAGTTCTATTTTTGTTTCATCTGTCCAGAGTACATTGTTCCAAAAGATTCTAAATTTGTCTAAATACTCGGTTGCGTGTTTTAGAAGTGCATCTCTGTGCCTACTTATTAGCAGAAGAGTTCTATGTGATCTATCGTTGTTGCTGATGAGACCAACCACGGTAGTGTCGTCAGCAAACTTTATGATGTGGTTGGAACTGTGAACTGCTGCATTCTAATATGTGTCCTTTTTTTGTATTCATGATATAATTAATCATGTAAAGCGTGTTGTATCTTGTCCATACATTCAAGACATTAAATAAATATTATAAGTATTAATCATATGGAGCATTCACAGAACGAAGTGGGAACGAGGGGCGAGTGAGGAGCAAGGAATAGAAAACCCAGAGCTGGAGCACTGTGATTACAGGAATGCTTTGGGCAAGGGGTGGAAATGTTTGCTGATCCACTCCACTAACATACTCCACTTTAAGTCTTGTAAGTTGTAAGGAAGTGGAGCAGGTGGAGCTGCTATAGATTGGATTTGTTGTTCCAGCACATCCCACAGATGCTTGATTGGAGATTTGGGGAATTTGGAGGTCAGAGCAACACCTTGAACATGAATACCAGGAGCATGATCTCTTTGTCAGGTTCCTCAAACCACTCCAGGACAAGGTGTGCAGTGTGGCAGGGCAACATATCATAATGAAAGAAGCCATTCATATTGTACCTGGTCTGCAGCGATGTTTAGGTAGGCAGTCCATGTCAGTTTGTTGTCTACATGAATGCCCAGACCTACAGTTTCTCAGCAGAACGTCGCCTAGGTCGTCACACTCCCGCCACCAGCTATTATTCTTCCTACAGTACATCCTGGTGCCATCACTTCCCCAGGTGAACACAGCACATCATCAGACAAGGGGACATTCTTCAAGTCCAGTTCTGGCACTTGTGTGCCCATTGTAGGTGCTCTCAGCGGTGAACAAGGGTTAGCTTGGGTACTATAACTGGTCTGTAGCTATGCAGCCCCATAGGCAGCCATGTGAGATGCACTGTGTATTGTGACACATTTCTCCCGTAACCTTCATTAAACATTTCTCTGATAGTACCACACTAGCCCACTCTGTTGGTATGGACCAGTCAGGATAGCCTTTGCTGCTCTTACACATCAGTGAGCCTTTTGCACACAATGAACTGGTTTTGTCAAAGTCACTCAGGTCTTCACACCCGCACATTTCTCCCACATCCAAACTGTGCACTACGAGAACCAGCATTTTGCTTACAGTCTGATAGATCCCAGACCTTCACACGCACCATAGTTATGAGATCATCAGCGCCCTTTTAGTGCATCTGTGAGTGATCATAGTGTTTGGGATCATCAGAGACTTATTTCTATTTTTGTGCAAAATATTTAATTAATTAATTGAAAGAAGACGTTCTAGAAACTCAGCTTCGTGAATGTTAAGCCCTATATGATGTGTTAGTTTAATATTAGTAAAGATTGATGTGAGTGTCTGGAGTGAGAACAGGACAGTCAGAATGATGTCCATACTGATCAATTTTGAACACAAATGGAAAAAATGCTTGATAACTATAGAAAATGAAAACATTGTGGAAGTGCTGAGCTGTAAGTGTAAGGAGTTTTTCTTCTCTCTGCAGACTGGAACACTGCAGCATTACAGATAAAGGCTGTGCTGATTTGTTTAAAGCTCTGAAATCAAACCCCTCATCACAGCTGACAGAACTGAACATAAACTACAATAAACCAGGAGATTCAGCAGTGAAGGAGCTCTCTGAACTACTGGAGGATCAGCACTGTAAACTGAAGAAACTGCAGTGAGTTACTGATGTACCGTCTCCACACACACACACACACACACACACACACACAGTTAGTGTGGTAGTTAAGACTACTAGAGCCAAGTCTGAGAGTCAAGACCAACAACAGATTAAATTTTTTTAAAGCATGCAGTGCAGTCAGTCGCGCACACACACATCACATTCCCAGTGGCTTAGAAGGTCACGTGCACATGGTTAGTATTTGGTAGCAATTGTTTAACTTGGGTCAAATGTTTCAGGTCACCTTTCACATAGTTCTTGCAGTACGTTGCTGTAATTTTGGCCCATCCTTCCTTACAGAACTGGTGTAACTGGGTCAGGTTTGTAGGCCGCCTTGCTCGCACATGCTTTTCAGTTCTGCCCATAAATTTTCTATGGGATAGAGGTCAGGGCTTTGTGATGGCCACTCCCCACCCTTCACTTTGTTGCCCTTAAGCCATTTTGCCACAACTTTGAAAGTATGCTTGTGCCCAGGCTTTTAATTCCTGGTTGATGTCTTGAGACATTGCTTCAAAATCTCCATGTAATTCTCCTTCCTTATAATGCCATCTATTTTGTGAAGTGCACCAGTCCCTCCTGCCACAAAGCACCCACACAACATGATCTTATAGTGAATTATAAGTGAAGAAACCTGTTTGTAAACATTTGTTGGAAAAATTGGTTGCATCATGTACAAAGAAGACATCCTGAACAACGTGCTAAAATTATAGTTTGTTGATACGGAATCTGTGGAGGGGATAAATTTGAGCTTTAATGACTCAAGTTTCGTATTAATAAAGATTGATGTGAGTGTTTGGAGTGAGAACAGGACAGTCAGAATGATGTTCATACTGATCAATTTTGAACACAAATGGATAAAAAAGCTTGATGACTATAGAAAATGAAAACATTGTGGAAGCTTCCTGAGACAAAAAATATTAAATTATATCTGATTTTATAATTTATTGATTTAGCTGTTTTTGTTTTTAGCACATGGGCTTCATACCAGCAACAAAGCAATCATGTAACATGAAATAAAATACATTTAATTTATTCTAACATTTTTACATGATTGTGTGCACTTTATAATAAATTCATTTAAATAAAATTAAAATCTGGCACTTTTCGGAGAGGGAGGCAGAACACCTTTACAGGAGTGTTTTTACAAGACACTGAAATGAAAGACAAGAACAGACGAATATGAATGAGAATGAAAGACATGATAAGTCCTCTATTCTAAACTCTAGACTGACTGTTGAGTTTCTGGTGGTTATTTTCCATCCTGTATTTATTTGATGAGTCAACTGAAAATCATAGCTTCATAATAAAGTATTCAGCACTGATCACATAAGAAATTAACCCTCATTTTAAAACCCGCTTTGTAGGGAAGCCTTTCATGTGTCTGTAATAAAGCTTTTCCCCTTCATCTCCACTTATTTAAGTTATACTAACGTTTTCAAAGTGAGAGTGGTGATTAAGGAAATCCCGATGTCTTAATGAATCTGGGATGGACACGGCCTGCACCTCATAACACACTCACACACACACAGACATGCTTGCACACACCCACACGCACACATGAACACAAATGAACTTATTCTATATAAAGTGGAATAATTGTGTCTAGTTAAAATTATTCTCAGGAGTGTGAATCTTTTCTGATTTTCCTGGTTTAGTGTGTGTGCATGTGTGTGTGTGTGTGTGAGTGCTGAGCTGTAAGTGTAAGGAGTTTTTCTTCTCTCTGCAGACTGGAACACGGCAGCATTACAGAAAAAGGCTGTGCTGATTTGTTTAAAGCTCTGAAATCAAACCCCTCATCACAGCTGACAGAACTGAACATAAACTACAATAAACCAGGAGATTCAGCAGTGAAGGAGCTCTCTGAACTACTGGAGGATCAGCACTGTAAACTGAATAAACTGCAGTGAGTTACTGATGTACCGTCTCCACACACACACACACACACAGTTAGTGTGGTAGTTAAGACCACTAGAGCCAAGTCTGAGAGTCAAGACCAACAACAGATTAAATTTTTTTTAGACATAAAAAGATTTTTCAGAATCACAATGTAAAGCCAAATGACCTTTAACCAAACTACACCCATTATATTAATAAATGAAGACATGATAATCATTGATAAATCATATCAATGAACATCAACAAACAAAAATACTCAGTAAAGCCATCATGGAAATACCAATTAGATCCTCCACCAACAGATTTTATTTAAACATGTACAACAGTGGGTTTCAGCCAGGGTGCTGTGCTCCCCAGTGGGCCGTGGTGGTACTGCAGTTTGTTTGTTTTTACGCCACAATGCGCTAGAATACAAAAAATTAACCATATGTACTTTTAAATATGACAAATAGTAAGTCAAAGTAAAGGTTTTCACACCTGCACATTTCTCCCACATCCAAACTGTCCACTACCAGAACCAGCATTTCACTTACAGTCTGATAGATCCCAGACCTTCACACGCACCATAGTTATGAGATCATCAGCGCTATTCAGTTCATCTGTGAGTGAACATAGCATTTTGGATCATTGGTGTACACATAATTAAAAAACTGCCATTCAACAAGCATGCAGTGCAGTCAGTCGCGCACACACACATCACATTCCCAGTGGCTTAGAAGGTCACGTGCACATGGTTAGTATTTGGTAGCAATTGTTTAACTTGGGTCAAATGTTTCAGGTCACCTTTCACATAGTTCTTGCAGTACGTTGCTGTAATTTTGGCCCATCCCTCCTGACAGAACTGGTGTAACTGGGTCAGGTTTGTAGGCCGCCTTGCTCGCACATGCTTTTCAGTTCTGCCCATAAATTTTCTATGGGATAGAGGTCAGGGCTTTGTGATGGCCACTCCCCACCCTTCACTTTGTTGCCCTTAAGCCATTTTGCCACAACTTTGAAAGTATGCTTGTGCCCAGGCTTTTAATTCCTGGTTGATGTCTTGAGACATTGCTTCAAAATCTCCATGTAATTCTCCTTCCTTATAATGCCATCTATTTTGTGAAGTGCACCAGTCCCTCCTGCCACAAAGCACCCACACAACATGATCTTATAGTGAATTATAAGTGAAGAAACCTGTTTTGTAAACATTGTTGGAAAAATTGGTTGCATCATGTACAAAGAAGACATCCTGAACAACGTGCTAAAATTATAGTTTGTTGATACGGAATCTGTGGAGGGGATAAATTTGAGCTTTAATGACTCAAGTTTCGTATTAATAAAGATTGATGTGAGTGTCTGGAGTGAGAACAGGACAGTCAGAATGATGTTCATACTGATCAATTTTGAACACAAATGGATAAAAAAGCTTGATGACTATAGAAAATGAAAACATTGTGGAAGCTTCCTGAGACAAAAAATATTAAATTATATCTGATTTTATAATTTATTGATTTAGCTGTTTTTGTTTTTAGCACATGGGCTTCATACCAGCAACAAAGCAATCATGTAACATGAAATAAAATACATTTAATTTATTCTAACATTTTTACATGATTGTGTGCACTTTATAATAAATTCATTTAAATAAAATTAAAATCTGGCACTTTTCGGAGAGGGAGGCAGAACACCTTTACAGGAGTGTTTTACAAGACACTGAAATGAAAGACAAGAACAGACGAATATGAATGAGAATGAAAGACATGATAAGTCCTCTATTCTAAACTCTAGACTGACTGTTGAGTTTCTGGTGGTTATTTTCCATCCTGTATTTATTTGATGAGTCAACTGAAAATCATAGCTTCATAATAAAGTATTCAGCACTGATCACATAAGAAATTAACCCTCATTTTAAAACCCGCTTTGTAGGGAAGCCTTTCATGTGTCTGTAATAAAGCTTTTCCCCTTCATCTCTACTTATTTAAGTTATACTAACGTTTTCAAAGTGAGAGTGGTGATTAAGGAAATCCCGATGTCTTAATGAATCTGGGATGGACACGGCCTGCACCTCATAACACACTCACACACACACAGACATGCTTGCACACACCCACACGCACACATGAACACAAATGAACTTATTCTATATAAAGTGGAATAATTGTGTCTAGTTAAAATTATTCTCAGGAGTGTGAATCTTTTCTGATTTTCCTGGTTTAGTGTGTGTGCATGTGTGTGTGTGTGTGTGAGTGCTGAGCTGTAAGTGTAAGGAGTTTTTCTTCTCTCTGCAGACTGGAACACGGCAGCATTACAGAAAAAGGCTGTGCTGATTTGTTTAAAGCTCTGAAATCAAACCCCTCATCACAGCTGACAGAACTGAACATAAACTACAATAAACCAGGAGATTCAGCAGTGAAGGAGCTCTCTGAACTACTGGAGGATCAGCACTGTAAACTGAATAAACTGCAGTGAGTTACTGATGTACCGTCTCCACACACACACACACACAGTTAGTGTGGTAGTTAAGACCACTAGAGCCAAGTCTGAGAGTCAAGACCAACAACAGATTAAATTTTTTTTAGACATAAAAAGATTTTTCAGAATCACAATGTAAAGCCAAATGACCTTTAACCAAACTACACCCATTTATATTAATAAATGAAGACATGATAATCATTGATAAATCATATCAATGAACATCAACAAACAAAAATACTCAGTAAAGCCATCATGGAAATACCAATTAGATCCTCCACCAACAGATTTTATTTAAACATGTACAACAGTGGGTTTCAGCCAGGGTGCTGTGCTCCCCAGTGGGCCGTGGTGGTACTGCAGTTTGTTTGTTTTTACGCCACAATGCGCTAGAATACAAAAAATTAACCATATGTACTTTTAAATATGACAAATAGTAAGTCAAAGTAAAGGTTTTCACACCTGCACATTTCTCCCACATCCAAACTGTCCACTACCAGAACCAGCATTTCACTTACAGTCTGATAGATCCCAGATCTTCACACGCACCATAGTTATGAGATCATCAGCGCTATTCAGTTCATCTGTGAGTGATCATAGCATTTTGGATCATTGGTGTACACATAATAAAAAAACTGCCATTCAACAAGTATGCCG